TTGCTTGACGAGGTTACTGGTGAGCTATCCGATACTCGTACACGATTCCTGGGATCCAAGGCCGTCAAGCTGTTCCAGGTTTCTGTCAAGGGGCAGACTGCAGTTCTTGCACTCAGTTCTCGTCCTTGGCTGGGCTATTCGGATGTTCAAACCAAGGGCTTCATGCTTACACCACTGGACTATGTTGGGCTCGAGTGGGGCTGGAACTTCTCGAGTGAACAGTGTGTGGAAGGCATGGTTGGTATTCAAGGACAGAATCTACGGTATGTTTGACCTTTCTGTTTCATTCTTTCCCCATCCTCTCCACCGATCATATGATGAACACAAGGGATCCGAATATCTATGTGGATCAACTTTATTTATTTTCCAATTGTTCCTACTGAGATCAATACTGTCACACCATTTTTGTTTGAATGTCGTGCTACGAACCAAGCTAATTGTGGCTTTCAGGATTTTCTCTATTGAGAAGCTCGACAATAACATGCTCCAGCAGTCAATTCCACTTGCATACACTCCGCGACGCTTTGTGAAGCATCCAGAGCAGCCGCTATTCTATGTCATCGAGTCGGACAACAATGTCCTTGCTCCTGCCACGAGAACACAGCTGCTCGAGGATGCCAAAACCCGTGGTGAAGATGTAACTGTCTTACCACCAGAAGAATTCGGTTATCCTCGAGGCTCTGGTCACTGGGCCTCTTGCATTCAGGTCGTTGATCCCTTGGAAGCTAAATCGGTCATCTATACCGTGGAGCTTGATGAAAACGAGGCCGCAGTCAGCGTTGCAGCAGTTCCCTTCACCAGTCAGGACGATGAGACGTTCTTGGTTGTTGGAACTGTCAAAGACATGACGGTCAACCCTCAGTCTTCCGCTGGAGGGTACATCCACATCTACCGTTTCCAAGAAGACGGCAAAGAGCTGGAGTTCATTCACAAGACTAAGGTTGACGACCCTCCTCTTGCCCTTCTTGGATTCCAGGGTCGTCTTGTAGTCGGCCTTGGGTCTTTGCTGCGAATCTATGACCTCGGTATGAAGCAACTTCTCCGCAAGTGTCAGGCGCCGGTCGTGCCTACGACCATCGTCGGTCTGCAGACCCAAGGAAGCCGGATCGTTGTTAGCGATGTCCGCGAGAGTGTCACCTATGTCGTCTACAAGTACCAAGAGAATGTTCTGATTCCTTTCGTGGATGACTCGCTCTCCCGCTGGACGACCACTACTACGATGGTTGACTACGAGACAGTTGCTGGTGGTGACAAGTTCGGCAATCTCTGGCTGCTGCGCTGCCCCAAGAAGACTTCCGAGGAAGCGGATGAGGATGGCTCGGGTGCCCATCTGATCCACGAACGCGGTTATCTGCACGGAACCCCCAACCGTCTGGAGTTGATGATCCATGTCTACACCCAGGACATTCCGACCAGCTTGCATAAGACGCAGCTGGTGGCGGGAGGACGCGACATCCTCGTCTGGACTGGTTTCCAAGGCACCATTGGAATGCTGGTTCCCTTCATCAGTCGGGAGGATGTCGACTTCTTCCAGAACCTGGAGATGCAGTTGGCTGCACAGCACCCTCCTCTCGCTGGTCGGGACCACCTGATCTATCGCAGTTACTATGCACCCGTCAAGGGTGTCATTGACGGAGATCTGTGTGAGATGTATTTCTTATTGCCTAATGACACGAAGATGATGATTGCCGGTGAGCTTGATCGCTCCGTGCGCGAGATCGAGCGCAAGATTTCCGTGAGTATTCCTTGTGAATCTGTCCCAACGACCCGACGATAACTAACCAATAATGCAGGACATGCGCACCCGGGTGGCTTACTGATTTCGAAACGAGGGAGATTCTTGGCGTCTAATCGGGATAATGTCGTGTATGCGGGTTCCTAGATACCCATAATTGATCGCAATGCCCATCTTCAGTTGTACAGTTTTCCGTCGTTCGTCCCGGTGGTGAGTTTGTCGTAGACCGTTCGCAGATTTACGTAGGGATGGTCTCTTGCCTCGCTCGGTTTTCCGTTTTCCTCTCTCGGATGATCTTGAGCTGGATGCCGCTGTGCTTCTATTATCGAAATGAAGTGCAGTTCGGTATGAGACGAGAGGAAGCGTATTTCTTCGAAATGCCCTCGACGATCTTTGAGTACGATTTTATCCGCTGTTTTCCCCACGGATCTCATCGTAATTTATAGTCGGGACATTACATATTTTCAGACTTCGGTTGTCTGTAGCAATCAATTCACTATATCATTTTCTGCATGATGATTCACTTTCTGGAAATGCTCCCTGCATAGCTCATGGTTACTGTACTGGCAGCTGTAGCTATTACTACTGCTACTGCTATTAGTTGTATCGCCTGAACCAAGCCGGACACCATTCCACTGACCCAGTACTATCCCGTTCACGGCTTGACCTATGAGAGTAATAGAGTCACTCGCGGTGATTCACATCCCACTGCGGTACGGACCGGTAAAGAAACTATCCACACCCATCTCCCACCTCCCGCGCAACCGAACGGAACCGCTATCCCAAACACCCCATTCCAACCCCTACGCGCGAATATCCCGATCAATGATCCTCGCAGCAGCCAAGCACTTCTCGTCCTGAAACCGCGGCGCAATCACCTGGATGGCGCAGGGCGCGCCGTCGACGGCGTCGGGATGATCTGCATGTTCAGGTCACATCAGTCAGTCCAACTCTCCAGGATCGTCTGCACAGCACATCCACATCCAGTCCCACACGGAAGCTCCAGCCAGCCGCGGGGGAAGATACGGGGGTCTAACGCACAACTCGGCTGGACGCCGTCTTCGAGCACCATCGGGTCCGGATCGAGGGCCTTGGAGGCTTGGCCGTAGGGGAGGATGCAGGCTGGATACTATTATCGAAGTTATTGTCCGTGTGTGGGTTCCTATTCACCCGGTTATCCACGGCACTAGGGGAAAACATACGTCGACCAGATTCCACACGAGGGTGTACGGCGGCCACCCGAAGGTGTCCCACTCGACGGCGGGGTTCTGGGCCCCCGGGGCGAGGACGACGTCCAAGTCGTGGGCGACGAATGTCTCGCGCCACGCGTCGCTGTACCGCTGGCGTTCCTGGTGGAGGGTGTCGATCAGTGTGAATGGCGAGACGACGGTCTCGTCCATCGGCACGGGGAAGGGGCCTGTGAACATTGGGGAACTGGCTTGCGCGACGGAGGGGACCGGGGGTTCGCCGCTCGGGGTGATGTGGTCTGTGCTGGGGCCGTAGATGAAGTATTGGAAGCTGAGGCGGTTGGCGTGGGCGAGGTTGGTCGCGAGGGTTGTTGAGGGGGAGGGGGAGGATGCGGTGGTGGTGTTGGTGGTGGTGTTGTCAGGGTTGAGGTAGACGATGCGATGGCCTTTCTTCTTCAGGGCGTCGACTGCGTTCGCTAGGGCGCGTTTCACCGGGGGATGGAGCGGGAAGTGCGCGCATTCGCCGAGGACACCGATTGTTAGTAGCTGCTGCTGCTGCTGCTGCTGCGGTTGGGGCATGGCTAGTGGCCGGGACCAAGGCGCTGCGGTGGCAGCACTGTCGTATCGCCAGGGGGATGCGTCGAGGACCGTCGACATGAACAGTTCCAGATCCTCGAAGGATTGAGCCAGTGGGCCGGCGGAGGGCATGATGCCCGGCAGGCCCTCCATGGCGCCGCTGGCCTGGCCCGCGAACGGGATGCGGGCGGTGGTGGGCTTGAAGCCGTAGACGCCGCAGCAGAGCGCGGGGATGCGGATCGAGCCGGCGATGTCGGTGCCCACGCCGAGAATGGAGCCCCGGAGGGCGATGAGGGCGCCCTCGCCGCCCGTCGAGCCGCCGGCTGTGAGGTTCGTGTTGTGGGGGTTCAGGGTGCGGCCGTAGATGTTGTTGTCGGAGTCGCCGGTCTGGGATTGCCGTTAGCATGTCCTGTACTGTACGGTGCCATCGTAGTATGTCCATATTCCCAGACCCGAAGAGACGAAGCACTAATTCTCCGAGTTCAAAGAAGATGATAGGGCAAACCTCACCATCATGGTCTGCGGCACATTCGTCTTGACATACAACACGGCCCCCAAATCCAACAACATCTGCACCAACGCGGAGTTCTCCTTCGCCGGGCCATGTCCCAGGAACGACACATACCCGACACTGGTATCGATGCCCTCCACGCGGAAACTGTCCTTGAGACTGACTGGCAACCCATGCAGCGGACCGACGACCCTGCCCTCCCGCATCAAATAGTCATCCAGATACCTCGCTCGCTCGAGCGCTCGCTCGAAGAAGTGCTCTGTCAGACAGGATGTCTGTATTCCCGGGACTGTTAGTGTCTGTCCTGCGGTACTCGTGGAAAAGCAATTGGGGAACGGAACAGAACAGACCAATTGCTGCGCGACGGCGGCGCGCTTACAGAATGCGGTGGTCACGGCGACGGAGCTGACATCGCCCCAGGCGAGGCGCTGGAGTAACTGGCCCGCGGTGTAGTTCTCGGTGAGGTCGAGTTCCTCGGGGGTGAGGATGTTGCTTTTGGCGACGGGGTCGAAGGCCAGGAGGTGGCCGTTGGCGGGGAGGGAGGCGCGGAAGGCGTCGGTCAGGCGCCAGGCGGAGGGGATTTGCGAGTCGAGCTGCTTGCGCTTGTGGGCGACGATGACGCGCCAGTCTTGCGGGTCCGAGAGCTGCGTGACTGTCATGTTGGCTGGAGTTGTGATTGCGGGAGGATGATGAGATAACGGAGATTGTGTGGCTTACCTGGGTAAGAGGGGCCAATTGGGATGTTTATATCCTTGAACTGAATGGGAGATTCATCTCCGACTTCATCTGCCGCGAGGACGAGGAGAGGAGACGTGAAGAGAGGGGCTTATCGTGCAGTGTAGTGAGCGAAGACTATGTTAACTTCGTATACCAAGTACCGTCCACGGTAGTGCGTCCACTTGCCTATTCGGGATACCTCGGTTGTTGCTCAGTGGTGGGGTCGAATGTGCTGATTGGGACATAGCATATTTGTCTACTGAGGTATAATCATGCTTAACCATGCTGCTCACTCCGAGGTCTCATTCAGCAGGCTTCATCACCACATCATCCGGCTTCACGCCCCCAAAATTCGTCAAATAGTACGCATCAATGACAATCCGATCCTCGACACAGGTCATCACCCCAACACAGACCAGCCCATTCAACCAATTATACCTCCCGGGACCTGCCTCGATTCTCAGATGCGAGAAGAACTCCACATCATCCTGGGAGACCGTCGACGGCGGACGGGACCGCGGATCCTCCGCCACCTGCCGCGCATACGCCGTCCCCGGCCCCGGACGGTAGAGGCCATGGGCCTGGATGTACAGGTAGTGGCCGTCATCGGTCTTGGCCGTGTAGCGCGCATCGAGGGTGATGGACTGCATGCAGCGATCTGATCAGACATCGAAGCTGAGAGCAAGGCGATGTGAAGTGTTTTGGTGGATATGCACTCACATGCGTCCCTTCAATCATGGTGGACCAGTCCGCTCCGCCCGAGGGTAGGACGGTCCCTGAAAGCCCCCCCGGCCCCTTGAAGGTGCCGCCGACGATGTTCGCGATACTCCGGATGACGCCCGCCCCGTGCGGGGCGCCGAGGTTGATCTCGTCTTTGTCGATGTCGCATTCGAGACGGTAGAGGTATGTCAGGTCCGGGCGGCGCATGGGCGGGGTCTCCGGGTAGAAGGCGTTGCCGGGAGAGGAGTTGTCGGGGGTCGAGTTCATGATAGGAATGATCACTCAATTGCTCTTGTTCACCGTTCAATCCAATTGAACCGAGTACAAGAGAACCGCGGCACAGCCATGATTTATCTGCTTTTCGCGTTGGAACTGAGAATAGAAGCTGGACGCGACTGGTGTTGTACATGTAGTAGAGTTGCTGGACCTGCGGGGAAATGCTTATCGCCACTTCCTGATACGGCAGGTCGACCCTTCTTCATTTAAACATCTGTTATCAACTGTCAGTCTTCGGCGCGCGAGGAACCCGAACTCGACACTGAGATGAAGTGGACCTTACCTGATAGTAAGCTGAATGCTCTGATTAGCCGAACTCTCCGATATCTCAGATGGCCTGGCATACCTACTGCAGGAACACTCGTGAATCGAAGTGCTCTCTCCGTAGTATCATCAACCCAAAACCGTCCGCAAGTCCATTTCAGTCGCCAAACGCTACCACATCACCATCGCTATACGCAAATTCCTCGTCAACCTAAGAAGTGAAAGATATCAGTCATGGCTTTCGTTCAAGCCGCATTCTCCGACCCGAGAGTCCCCCTCCACGACCGACAAGAAGCCCTGAACCGCGCATTCGCCGACCCAGGCCTTCCAGCACCTGGCGGCATGCCTTCCTTTTGGCTCAGAGAACCCCCATTCTCTGAGCTCGCAAGCTTGCAATCCGCAGAGCTCGCGACAGAAGCGGAGGTCGTGATCATTGGCTCCGGCATTACGGGCGCCTCTATCGCTAGGACCCTATTGTCGAACGCGGTTGGCAACAGAAATCAGGAAGCAAGGCCGTCCGTCGTCATTCTCGATGGCCGCGAGGTCTGCCACGGCGCGACGGGCCGGAATGGTGGTCATATCCTCGAGACCGCAGAGGAATTCAGCTATTTCGAAGAAACGTATGGGGTGGAGACGGCGATCCGAACCATGAGATTCCGCCTCGCACATCTGGCGGAGCTGCTTCGCGTGGCAGACGAATACGGGCTCAGCGAGGTTGCCCAGGCCCGGAAAGTCCAGTTCCTGAGCGTCCATTTTGATGACGAGAAGTGGGTGGAGACGGTGCGGTCGATCCGGCGACTCAAGGAGTGCATGCCTGCCGAGACGGTGGAATGGAAGATTTTCGAGAAAAGCGAGATTCCGAAGGTCAGTTTGCTTCCGACTTTCGTCGTATCCGAGGAAGAGTTGAAGGATGCGTGTAATTCCACGAGGCTCAGACACTCACAGTAAAATAGGAGTTCTGTCTGGCCCCAGACGCTCGAGGTGTCATCGCCGGGCCCGCCGGCGCCATGTGGCCGTATCGCTTCGTCACGGGCCTCCTGGCTCGTCTACGCGAGCAGTATCCCAAGGACCTCCGGATCGAGACCAAGACACCCGTAACAGCTATTCGCGAGAACGCGATATCCACAGATTCGTCCGCACTGCGATACTCCGTCATCACGGGGAGGGGAACGATCCGGGCGCGTCATGTCATCCACTGCACGAATGCGCATGTCGGTCACTTGGTGCCGGGACTGCGCGGCCGCATCTACCCCATTCAAGGAACAATGACGGCGCAGAACCCAGGGCGCAGCTTCCGACCACAGGGAACCGAGCACTCCTGGCTGTTCAACTATGAGCATGGCTTTGATTACCTGACGCAGTTGCCCTCTTGGGGGAAGACAGCCAACAAGATGATGCTGGGAGGGGGTTTTGGGCAGCATGCAGATCGAGGGATCTTGGCTTTGGGAGTCGCTTCAGATAACGAGGGAGTCCCGCCGTATACGCTGAGCCATTTGAAGAAAACGCTCAAGAAGACGTTCGATCAAGAAGATTGGGGCGAGTGGAGCGCTGATCAGGATGTTGACACGGCGTGGACGGGTAACATGGGCTTCAGCGCAGATGGATACCCGTGGATCGGCAAGCTCCCGCATTCTGCATCTGGCCGGGTGGAAGCAGTGGAGAGAGGGGGAGGCCATGGGGCCGAATGGTTGTCGTGTGCGTTCTCGGGTGAAGGCATGGTGCAGGCATGGCTGTGTGGGAAAGCAGTAGGTATGATGGTGTTGGCCCATGATGGACGATTAGCCGGAGAGGTGAATCTCTCGTGGGTGCCTGATCAGATGTTCGTGACTGAGGAGCGGATCGAGAGATCGGTCCTGCCAAGGGTGTTCACCGATCATCGCTCATCTCAATTGTGAGAGGCATCGTGTTCTTCTTCATGTTGTATTCGTAGTTGAAAGCATTGGCGATGTAGGTGAGGTTCAAGTGACAGAAGATTAGACGAACAAATGTCTTGTCTTATCGAAAGTACCAAGCATGGAAAGTACTGCAATGTCAACGTCTTAGGTCCATTACAAGATTAAGAACGAACAAAAGAAGAGAGAAAAACACAAAAACTGACTTGGTATTGAAAAGCTACATAGCAACATAGCAACATTGCAAGAATCTATGCAAATAACCCAGGACAAATACATCCATCAACAAGAACCTTCTAAAGTCTCTATCCATCCACATATCCAAGTTCAAGGATTTCCGGCTCCACCCTTCCTGATATTATCATACTGCGAAACAGGGTACTCCAACTGATTCTCAGTCTTATCCAAAACATTGACACCCCCAAGGTTATCGACCAACTGCATCATTCAGAGCGTGTCAGCCTCCATCCATCCAGAAACACATCTTCTCCAAGCAAGAAAGAAAGAAGGAAGGCGAAACTCACCGTGACAATCAAGCTCTCTTGACCCTTCCGATCCCCCGACGTCTCCCAGAACATGCCGCCGCCCAGACACCTGTTCTTGATGTACTCGGCCTTCAGCTTCACGATATTGGGGGTATCGTAGCTGACCATGGTCTTGCGGGCGGCGTCGTACGAGAAGCTGGCGCCGATGTCGTTGAGCTCGGTCACGCTGGCGCCGGGTTGTGGGAGGGCCTTGTAGTCCCAGATGCCGTTCTCGTAGCTGCCGCCGCCGACGCCGTTGAAGGGCTTGCCAGGCCCGTCGGTGTTGGCGAAGGAGCGGCCGTAGATGGGCATGCCCAGGTTGATCTTGTGCGGGGCCACGCCGGCGGCCGTGTACGCGTTGATCGCTTGGTCCGTGTTGAAGGGGGTGGAGGCCGGGTTGTTGGCCGCCGGGTACAGGCTGGACGCATGGCCGGCCACGGTACCCCAGCTGCCGGCGTAGTCGTAGGCCATCAGGTTCCAGAAGTCGAGCTGCGCGTCCATGCTGGCGAGGTGGAGGACGTTGTAGTTGGAGGGGCCTGCGGTGGGGGAGGGGGTTCAATTTGGGGCCGGTGGGCCGGGTAGAGGACAAGGGTAGATGGGAAGAGAGGACGTACCCGCTGGAGAGGCTACGCTCAGCAGGAAGTGTTTGCCTTTACCATGTTCCCGGCCGTATTTGTCAAGTTCCTTGTGTGCAGGATAGATGGTCAGCCATAAGACGAATACACCGATGAGATCATCATCGAGCACGTACCATGCGAAGCTCACGCAGAAGCAGAACCATATCATTAGCCTGGCCGTCATTTGCAGGATACTGCCGTATATAGATTAGCATCGGGTATCATCTCCAGACATCCAGCATGCAGAGAGATAGACAGTGACAGACAGACTTACCTCCCAATCAATATCCAACCCATCAAACCCCACATCCCCCATCAACTTGACCGCCGTCGACGCAAACTTCTTGCGTCCCTGCTCCGTGCTCGCCGGCGCGGCAAAGTTTCCCGAGTACGTCCACCCGCCGATCGACAGCATGACCTTCATGCGGCGGTTCTTCTTCTTCAAAAGGAAGAGCTGCTTGGTGCACCCGTAGGCATTGTTGCCGACATCGTTCCACGAGTCGCCCGGGTAGTGCTTCTGGACATCGGACCAGGAATCGGTGAGGTAGACCTCCCCGTCGGCGCGGATGTTGGCAAAGGCGTAGAGAACGTGGGTGAGATTCTCGGCTGCAATGTCCTGCGGATTGTGGTTTCTGGCATAGATTGCCTGTTGCCCCCAGAGGGTGTTAGTGGTTTGTGATGACGATGACTCAAGTGTTTTTATTGGCGGTTTTATAGATGGGGTGGCTCACCCAGTTCACAAAGTATGCAACCGACTTGTAGCTCGGGGGCTGGGAGCAGTTGACAGGCTTGGGCAAACCTTTCTGACCCTGTGGGAGAGGTGGAGCGACTCCAGAAGGAAGGGCAGCGCCGTGGATCATTAGTCCACCCATGGCAAGCAGAAAAGGAATGATGGTTCTCATCGTGAGAAAAGGAGTGATCAGTCAAGAGAGAAAGAATGGTGTTGATCGAGAAAGGAGGGACACGAAGATTGAAGCTGGTAGGCGAAATCAAGGAGAGGATAGGCTATGACGAGAAAGAGGGAGAAGAAGGGGAGGAAAGAAGGAAGAGTCACAGAGATGACGCAGAGAGGGATGATGAGATCTCTGACCGCATTATATAGTCACCACCAGCCTTGAGTCAACCTCATCTTCATCCGTCCCGAATATCTCGCCTCGACGGGACGAAATTGAAAGTGTCAGCCCAGCAGCAGTGAACTTAACCGTGTATGCGACTTGTTACACCTCGCCCGTTTGTTATCTCTGGGCCATGCATCATCCTACCCACCCAGAGCAGCATCTGTCACAGAGTCGATCCATCCTGTGGGCCCCATGATGGGTCGAGACCACCGTCCCTGATCACAAACGCCAACGGACGAGGTAGGAGGCACTGTCCCTGAAGTACCCAGACTGTCTCACAGGGCTGACTTGGCCTCACGTGTGCCTCGATCTCTAACAGAGTCAATCCAAGCAGATGCTCGCAATCCGACCAATTCGATTGGGACAAGTCCCATGATGCAAGGGCCGCGAGAGAAGCAAATATCAGGCACAGGTGAAGAAGGTTTCCCCATGGATGTGTGAATGTATCATGCGCTGCAAGCCATCCAAGTCACCGCTGATGGGTGGAGGGGCTTGTACGACCTCCTTCACCCTGACGGGGATATCGATGGGGATAGCCTCACATTGAGGCCTGAACAGGCAACTAGCCCCGAGTCCCGACTCGGCGGTCGTTGGCATGTGCTCCTTGCCGCTGAAGAACATTCACCGCTGTACTCGGGCACCAAGAAAGTACGAGAGATGTATCAAGTCTAAGCAGGTCATAAGCAGTCCATTAAAAATATAATGCTCTATCTAGTAGTCATGATCTTAATTAAAGCTATTCAGCATTACCTAGTCAAGTCAAATCATCCCAAGTCAAACTTTTTTCCAGTCGTAGATAGCAAAAGCTAAACCAGGCAATTGGGTATATTGCAACGAAACAAAAAGAAAAGAGAAAATCGACCATAACGCCCTTCATCGTAGCCAGTGTTTCAGATGCACTTTGCAGGTGAGATCCCGATAATTAATTTGCATATTAGTAGGCCGTTCTCATTCGCCCCGGGTTTGCAGTGGTCGAGGGGGGAAGGATCCTTGAACGGTCTGGAAGTAGATGGGCGGTGCGCACGGCCGTGTACTCAGGAGGTGTAACTTCAGGCTCCGAGATCCAATGGGGTGCGATGCTCCGAGGACTGAAGAACTCGGCATTGACCTCCTCCTGCGTGATCTCGACGACGGTGTTTTTCGGTCGAGCGTCCGCTTGCGGCTGGCATGTCAGCTGGATGGGGATCTTCAAGGATGTCGTCGGCGTCAAGATGTTCGCGTTAGGGGTGTGGTAAGAGAGACTGAGCTCCAGGCTGTAGATGCGGGCGACGAGGCAGGAGTGAAATGTGGGCACAAAAGTCTTCGACTTGGGTAACGTGATTGGTACGACCACTGACGCTGCGTAGAAGGTGTTTCCGGAGAAGGAAGCGGACGGCCCCGGTAGAGACTCCGTCGAGGACGTCGAGTGCATGGAGTCGCGGCGCGGCGCGTCTGCACTCGTGTGCTTGGTCCACTGCGCCGAGGCTACACACATGGTCGATAGTGGCACAGCTTCTGTAAACATTCCTCGACCAACCTGCGCCCACGTTCGGATGGACGAAGTCGAAGGGAAATCGCCCCACGGCTCCGCACTATAGAACGTCGTCGCTCGCAGTCGACTCCACACTGTCCCCAGACGTGGAGGTTCTTCGTTTCCAAGTGGGTCAAAGCGAAGGTGCACGGTTGCCACAGTGCTAACGATGCTCGTGTCGTCGTCACTGGTCGGGTTCAACTGTATAGGTTTCGGTTGCGATGCAGCGACAACGATGCGTCCCTGCTTTCCCCTCATGAAGCCACGCTTGACGTCTTTCTCCTTGCGCACGCAGTACAGGGTCTCGTCATCCGGAATGTTGAGAGGCGGCTCTTCGTCCACCATAGGCACAACCCGGACTTTCTTGCCAATCGAAGCGAGGGTATCAATTGAACCGTTCTGACTGAGGGGGTTTCTCTGCAGCGTTGCGCGAACAATATATGAGATCCGGCACATATCAGGAGTCAGGTCGTCAAGAAGCGATTTGCCGTCACTGGCGAGCATGGGGTCTCCAAAGGTGGGCGGAAGCATGGTGTGCGATTGCTCGACGTGGATATTGGTTTTCGGATGGCTGCAGACATGAGGCAGTAGGCGTTGTGGGACCACGAATACAAACGGAAAGTCATAGGTGCGTCCGGCCTCGAGGATGCGTGGAGTCGGATATGCTGCATCCTCAATGGGCTGCCGAAGTCGCAGGAAGGTCTGATACGCGCCCGTTCGACCAGGCATCGATTGTCGCTCCACTGAGGTTCGCGAGGTGCCTAGGGAACAATCAGAACCAATTATTGTCTCCTGATGTAGTGTTTGTTGTACCTTCAAATGTAATCTCCACCTCATCGAAACGAGTGTCATGGTCCACGGTCACTGTCACTGTGCCCTTGATGGTGTCTCCGGTAGTGTACACATTGACCAGGCCATCGTGTTGACCATCCAGGTCGATGTTGACCTTAGGGCGGGAGCGAACCGAGAAGCGCCCGACAGAGCTGGAGCTCCGCGACACGCTCGAAGTACTCGTCATCGCTCGTGGTGATAAAAGTTCGATCAATGTTGAACTTGTCGAGTATGGAGGGTAATGAGAAAGATCTTGCTCACGAACGAGCAATTGGTGAAGATGAAATGACCGCCAACCAGTTGGGGTGTTATTGTTGATCGTCGGAAGTATAAGTCAAGTTAAGTATGAGTAGTTCGGATCAGGAGTCAAGAAGAAGCAACACAGGAAAAATAATGCGAGATGCAGGGACTTTTTATTCCCGACCAGTCAGTCACTCAACGGCAGTCAATGGTGACACAAACAAGAATCAGTAGGATATTGATAGGAAAACACAAATCCCAAATAACCCCCAGTCTCCCCAAAGGTACCATATATGGGATTCCAGGGAGAAAATTGGCAACGGGCAAGTATGTAGGGATGGGGTGACGGGGAGTTGCGGTTGAGTAATAGAAAAGGTACAGTGGAGATCGTTCACTCCACTATTTCTTGTAGATGGCCGTGGTTTTCCGTTCTGATACTACTACTGAGTATCAAACAATAAACAAGGGTGGATTGAAATGAATGATATATGAAATTCAACCACCATGGTTCCTGTCCTGGGTCGGTGGCTTTAATACCTACCTACTCATCCCGATTCTTCCTCCAGACCCTCAATCCTTTTTACCTCCCCAAAATGAGTCACGCAAGAGACAGCTGATAAATCCAAGGCAATAAAGCGAAAACGAAAGCGAAAAAAGAAAACAAAAATGCACGTGCGATCTCCAATTCGATTGTCTGTTTGTTCAATTCGTTCAATTCGTTCAATTCGTTCAATTCCATTCATTCATTTCTTCAGTTTTCTCCCAATACTTGCCATTCTGGACTAGCGCACCCCATATCCCGCTGGGAAAGAGATGCGCATTCTGTGGTCGGGACTGGCTTTAGCTTTGCATGAGGAATGGGGACCCTCCACTCTTACTCCTAGTTGGTTGTCGCGCGCGCCCTTTGCTGACATCGCTCAGGCGAACAATTGAGGGAAAGCGTCACGCCCTACGGAACAAGCAGTGCGCCTCCTCGTATGGGTGTGTGGATTGTATGTCCGCGGGAAAAGGCCCGAGTTGGTGGTGGTGGTGATGATGATGATGACGCAGCTAGGCCATGGCCAGCACAGTCCAGAACATACACACACCCACACTCTGCTGATGTCCTCACTGACGCTCGAGCATCACGTCCGTAGTGATGTTGATGGTTGATGATCTCTCTTTTACGGCTTCCCTCTCCCGGCGCTACTATCGGCTGTCTCGTGTCCGACAAAGACGGATGATCGACTCGATTGCTTTGTGTGCGAACACGAAACTCAGATGCTCAGTCAACCATGGAGAACATTATTAATCACAGGTGCAGTCCCAGCGGTCTGGACATGGACCCTCGATTTGATGGAGGCTTTGAAGAAAAACAAACGATCACGAGGAACACATCGGGATTTCCTCACCATCCTGATTGATCAGAGAGATAGAACCGGTGCCCACACCCTCCCACTCCCACAGAATCTAAGCCCAAACTGGGGCTGAATTTGCGAACAAGAAGGAGTCATCCCGCAATTGCTAGCCGATGTCTGACGTCCACGAGTCGATACTCCACGCCTTCTTCATCGTCAAATCCACGCCCTTGCAATGACATGACATGACATGCGCAAGCCACAAGGGCGTTGTTCGCTTGATCGGTTGCCGATGACGGAGCATTTGACGCGGCCTCATTGGTGGCCTCTGCCGGGTCAAGGCACTTTCTCAGGCTTTTCCTGAAAGAGAAGGAAGAAGGAGAAAACTGCGTGAGGAATCCTGGTTCGGTTCACGCTCCTCCATCTTGCTCGGGGCTACACAACAACAGAAAGATATATCAATCGATTGCACCATTGTATAGAATGATCGAACCACAGGCGGTATCTTGACATTATATTATCCTTTGCTGTTATGTTATCCGGACCCAGACGAAGGTAACCGCCCCGGAGTTCCCACCTTGTCCAGACTCCAGACCAGGGCCCCCCCCCCGTCGGGCGCTCCATTTCTATCCGCCCTTAGCCGAGATTCAAGCACGTCTTTTCTACTTTTCCTCGCGCTTTTGGATCTTCTTCTCCGCCTGAGCCCAGCCTCCTCGCGTGTTTCCCGACCAAAATCACTCGCGTACAGTCGGCCCGGTCAAGTTCCCCGGCCCTCCTGGGCGGCCAGTTCCCGATACCGATGGGCCTTGGCCCGTCGGAACCGCTTCCCGTAGATTACCATCACCACTAGCATCAGATTTACCCCGAGACTAATAAATCCAACGGTGATGAACATCTTGGTTAGTCCATAGGTCTCCATCCACGGACTGATCGCGAATGGAATCCCGATGCTGAAGACATTGCGCATGAAGGCCACGCCAGTGAAGGCATCTCCCGTGAGCTAGATCATGCATTCGCTGCACTTAGCACTTTCGCTCGAATGGAATGAAGATGGTGTCTTACCAACACATGGCTGTCAATGACGAGAGTCAAGCATGCGTCGCTAATACTGCCTAGGCCAAAGCCGAACAATGCTCCACCGATGCTGGGGTAGATCCAATGCATACCCTGGACGAACCACACGTCAGTGAGGAAGGTTGCTTTCAACTCAAAAAAACACAGATCACTCACTCGGTCCAGGGTCACGCCGAACATTATCAGCCCACCACACAGTGCAATTGCTGGCATGTGGAGGATATAGAGCCGCATCTCCGGCTCAAAATAGCCTCTATTACGTCGAGCAAAATATCGAAGCGATCGGTCTCCGAGATACCCTCCGTAGAACGACCCGATTAAGTTTCCAATGAATGGTCCAATGCTCATGAAGCCGACTTGTTCCGGGTTAAAGAGGTAGGGTGGGAGCGGCAGGACAAGAGAAAGAACGCTTGACATGATCGTGAGCCACATGACGCCACACGCATACTGCAGGCCACAGCAAAGCACAGCAGGGAACGTAAAAAGGATCTCAAAAGGCCGATAGTAATAAGGCCAGATAGGTTCCGGCGTGTAAGTCACAAGAGCCAGTCTTTGCCGCCAGTTCTTCATTGGGACACTCAAGTCAATCTCATCGCGTCCAGCACAGGGAGCTTCGGTTTGAGGAATGATGTCTTCCGCGATGGTCTTGCTATCTCCCTTGGTGCTAGAAGTTGGCACCACCCGAGGTTCATCGGTAGATCCCTGCGAGTCGTGAACTCCATCTATCACCACTGTATACTTTGTCTCTTCGTAGAAGAACATGAACAGTACAAAGATGATGGCGTTACAGATGCCAAGCGTACGGTATGGCATCCTCCAGCCCTGGTGGGTCGCCTGCACACCGGCAGCCATGGGAGTTAAGAAGCTCTTTCTAGACGTCAGCTGCAGTGCTCAAGGTCGAGGCTCGATAACCAAAGGCTTACACCAATCATCAGCATCGTCATATACAATGCATTCATTGTACCGCGGTGATGCACAAAGAAGATGTCCGCAATCTGATGACGTTAGCGCAGCACCATTTCGGAAAGAAGAACACGCACAGTGATCTGGACAATTGCCTCATTAGTCGCCCCAGCCAAGCCCTGGATGAGGTTTGTGACGTAGAGCTCAGAGAGACTCTTGATCTCTGCCGTCCAGAAGGCAGTTACAAGCATCAGCGCGGTGGAGATCAGGTAAATGGGCCGACGCCCATATTTCTTCGCCAGGGGGATAAACATGACACAGCCCATAGACAGGCCAACTGAGTTGACCGACATGGCTCGATTCAGTTGGGTATATGTGACATTCAAGTCAACCACCATCAGTTGCCAGAAGATGAGCTGAATCGAAAGCCTACAGGTAAAAATGTCAGCCATGAGCTCCAATCCCTGTTAATCAGTTGCCAACTCACGCAGTGAAAATGAGACAGGTAACTGCCAGTACTAGAGTAAAGTTCACAGCTTTGCGCGCGGTACTCCAATTCTTCCTCGTTCCCACGCAAGTTAGCGGATTCTCTTTGTCTTTCGAAGAAGGGTGTTTTTACCAGAGGCTCATTGGGGTCGCTTGAAGGGACCGGGCTGAGGAGGATCACTTGTTGACCTTGAGTCTCATCCTCATTCTCTGTAACTGGCTGTCAGTTTCTTGGCTGCTCTCATCAAAGAGGAAAGTCTTGCCCTTGACGAAGAGGAAAGTGCCTGGAGGTAGGTCATCTTCCACTCGATCCTGAGATACCGAGCCGTGGCCTGCCATCAATATTTGCCCAGGGTAAAGGAAGACGAATGAATTGTGAGAAAGTATTTGCAGAAAGGCTGTTGATGATGGCTTCCATGATCAGGCTCAAAGTATGCCTTGGTCGAGATGATATATTGTCGCCCGCGCAGACTCACGCGTTCGGTGGCGTAAGGAGTTCCCGACGTTCCATTCCACGCGTCACTTGCTAGAAGCCGTAAACCCTATCATGATAGATGATGGCGATGGAGATCACGAGTGCAGTGGAATTGAGTACGAAATGCGGGGGAACCGAGTTTAGTGTTTAGACCAGGCACTGATAGATAAGAAACCGCCTCAATCCATCCTGAGGAAATGCAGAGCGCGTCGGGGGGTCGACCTGCCAACAAGGGAATAGCCTCGGGCTACCTAGTATGAAGGCGCTTTACTACCTTAGATATAGTATCACACAAAACCATTCAGCCTGAGCATTATAGGCTTTTTCATTTGTTATTCATGCCGAACGCATTGTTGTAAGCTTGGAGATGATCCAAAGCCGATCCAGAGAAGGAAGGTAGACACCTTGCCACCAACATTTAGCGTGTGATAATGCGGGTGATATAGGCTGACAAGCGACTTGACTTGTCGTTATCTAAGGTTAAATCAAGTTCATCCTTGCCATGAGATGATAAAGAGGCGGTTCATTCGTGGTGACCGAGAGCCAGTAGCACCCTGGTCTCTTATCGGATGAATTTTGGTTCCCAATACCTAAGCAGATGGCTTCAACTCCCCGTTTGGATCTTTTTCGAGTTCATGATGGTCTGGTCACCTGCTTAAAACTTTTGCTGAACTACTACGACTGACCCTTTTGAGTCGAATAGATCTTCGTTCAGTCAGCGCAGTCGCACACACAATCAGCCTCTCGTTCTCGAATGACCCGTTAATCCGATGGCTACGACCTGCTGCTGCTCCATGGATGAGGCAGCATACGAGCACATTCAATTGGCAATATCGTCGGGTACAACGGTCCATCTCTGAGGGCTTTGTTTTCCAATCGGCTCCAGTACATCAGATTGCACATTTGTTTCCACCAAATCGAGGAGCGTCAGACAGTTCAGCCTTCATCAAGAAGATACCGGACTGTCATGATGAAATGGATGCTGGCGTAGCTATCATGCTATACCCGCCTTCAAGGCAATCGAGATGGACAATCGAAAGGCTCATTCTAACTGTAAAGGTTTGGTTTCTGGATCTGGTAAGCCCAGTCACAGACGATGGGGCAAATATGATGGTCGGTACCTGCACTCTCCCCCACTGAAGAACAAAAAGTTCCTGATCCTGATATTTGCTGATGCGACCACACCACAGCGCGTGGAAAAGCTTATGAAGTCTCATGACACCTCGCTCAACACCATCGGAAAGAAATATGGTCTAAACGATCTGTGGTATCTTGAAGTATTGGCTGTCCATACTTCTCTTCAAGGCCGAGGATTAGGCAGCATGGCGATGCAGTGGGTTCTGGACCGTGTTCAGGGTTCGCCGATCTTCCTAGAGTGCACAGCGGAGCAAAATGTGAAGTTTTATGAGAGGCTAGGTTTTGAGGTTGTTGAAGAAGTGGATTTGACCGATGAAAAAGACATCGCCAAAGTTTGGCTCATGCTTCGACAGAAACAGAAACTTGGTTCCTAAGTGTGGTTATCCTGTATGCTCCTGATCAATACAACGCAATCTCCAACCCTCGCACATAAGCAAGTTCATGTATACTCGTTTGCTCAGGGTCAGATATCCACCATTCCTCGAGGATTTCCGACAAGATCTGCAAGAGACGTTCATTCCCAGGGGGATCATGGAGGTTGTCACCCCAGCCTTTGATCAAGGCTTTCAAGAATGGCCTTGCATTCATGCTATGAGACTCCAATGAAGCAACAGCCAGAGGATAGAAGACTGCATTTAGAAGCAAAGTACTCGTTCCTTCAGGCTCCTTTGCTGCTCTGAAGATTGCATCCAAATTACTGAAAATGCGCAGCACAAGCACCTCTGTGGTAGGAAGAGCACGTATCCGGAGCCCTCTCTCATGAGAGTTATCTGGCTGCGATATGGTCATATCATCAAATCGGTGCAAGCGATGATGTCTCACAGCCAGAATTCCCGCCGATCTATAAGCTTCCCACAGCTGGCATTGTAGCAACGTGCCCTGAGCACCAGGCCAATTCCAGAATTCTTCTTCGTTGGCCTCTCGCGTGCCAATACAGGAGAAAATATCGAGCAAAGACCTTGGAAGGCCGCTTACTACCTCGACATCGTGACCTAGTTCTGGATTTATTGCACTGGGGTCTTTGCGTTTTCGGCAGTGGTTTCTCCAGAAACCAAGAGAGGGGTTTCGACGACCAATGGTAAAAGTAGGAAGATCCATCACTCCCATTACTTCGAAAAGATGTGTGCGGAATGTACTATTCTCGGATTGAAGGGTTTGAAACCCTTGCAATTGAATAATAGTGTACATACCTCGGAGGTGCATCGTCCATGGTGTGCCACGCAAAACCTGATTGATTTAGTATCGTTGCAGATGAAGACAGGAGGTTAACAAGGATATGAGCGCACCCCAACGCTGCAGAGAAGAAGCCCAGCCGCAAGTGTACCGTCTGGCAAATATGACGCACTGTGTGCCAGTTCGGATCGAAAATGATTCAGAGCCGCGTCGTAATACTCGAAGAATCGAGGCCCAATGTCATCGCTTATTGAAACTTGGAGGGCCAAACAGATGAAGTATAGTGCATCGGATTGCTGAGCAAGCGTGGGTAGTTGCGCTCCCAGTAGACTGGCAGGGTCATCGACGGTTGTTGAGTGTAGAGTGTTTACACCTGAAGTAAGGACTGCACAATACTCAATCTTCCATCATCGTAGACAGAGACAGGGGTCAAAGGGGACATTTGCATACATTTTTGAAAGAGTACCTCGTCTTCTTCTGATCGCTGTCGTATTTCGGGGGACGTTAGTGGAGACAGGTCAGAAGAGAAATTAGTGCTAGCATCATAAGCTGCCTCAAACATGTTAGCAAGAGGCCAGTACTGTACATCGGTACATGGAGAACACATGGGACACGGTACCTGCACTATTACTGCAAGGAGAGGAGGCAGTAACCCTTGTCTTCCCCACGTCGGTGATATACGCATCTTCTTGCTGGGCTCGGCGCCTCTCACGACTAAGATCACGCCGCCGTCCTTTGCGCCTCGGAGGTACGGAGGTCTCGATTGGCTCTTCTGCCCCGGTGTAACGGCCTCGCGATGCAATTCCGGCTCCCCATCGCAGCCGGACCTCATATCCCTCACATTGAAGCCCGCGCTGAATGCAGGATTGGCAGTTAGGCCTCGTCCTATCGCATTTGCGGCGTCGGGCCTTGCATGTCCAGCAGCCGTGATGAAATCGCTGACGAGGGGTCGACATTCCTGATCGGTGTCATGAAATATACAGAGGTCAGTCAGACCAAGATGGAGGTCATGATAGGCAGAAGCGGAGAGTGAAGACCTGCTTAAAAAGTGGACCCTTATCTGATAACATGAACGTGGAGAGGGTGAGGGGAAAGTCGGGAAGATAACGACTTAGAACGTGCAGTCCTGGGTCGACTTGCTGTATTGGGTCTAGCTCAGCATCAACCTTGTTTCCTTTTGCTTTGCACGGAGAACTGTAGTTGTAAACAGCTTCAATCCCACTGGGAGTCAAGCATCAATTGACTGAATCTAACATTAACAATGCCTGCTGCACGTGCGACGAACTTGGCCTTCACCATCCTTCTTCCTCCATAAATAGCAATGGAGAGAGACATGCAGTCTTGTTGACGAAACACTTCTTACCAGGTCTAATATGTCCTTCCTCACTCCGGTCTCAAGATGCTCAATTGAGCTACAATCCCTTGGAAGACTCGACGGTTTGCAATATGAAAATGGGGTACAGCAGTATTGTGGCATTCCCTATGCTCGTCTTCGCAAACGTTGGACACGTTCAGAGCTGAATACGACATGGGAGAATGACCACCATGACGGGACCAAACTGGGGTAGACGATACTTCATATATTGATCATTCTTCTGGTCTCACTAATGTTAATCTCTAGAGCTGATGTCCCACGGCCAATGCTCGAAGGCGACGACTCGGACGATTTAACGCCAGTGCCACCACCAGCGCACTTCCCAGAACTCCCACAAGTGGACGAGCTGCACGGGCTCGTCATGAACATCGTGATCCCCCATGCTCCAAACCGCCAGAAACTACCCGTTTTCGTCTACGTACACGGTGGCTCGCTCCTATACGGGGGTGCCAACCTTCCCATCTTCGACTGCGTGAATCTTGTTTCGCACAGCATCAAGATCGGAAAACCCATCGTATGCGTCAACTTCAATTACCGCGTCGGGCTGGGCGGCTTCCTGGCCAGCCAAGCCATCAAGCAGGACCTCGAACGCGACGGCCATCACGGATGCGGAAACTTTGGATTCACAGACCAGCTGGTAGCCTTCGAATGGGTGGAGCGATACATCGCGTCCTTTGGCGGTGACCCTAACGAAGTCACAGCCGTTGGAGAATCGGCCGGGGGGATCTCCATCAGCAACCATCTGGTAGCGGCCCACCCGCCGCGCTTCCACCGAGCCGTGTGCATGTCCGGCCTGTCCGTGTCCATCCCCCCTTGGACCATGGAGCAACACGAAGAGTACTTCCGCGCCGTATGTCGGTACTTCGACATCAACCCGTCCGCCCCGGACGTGCTCGACCGCCTGCGTGGCCTCCCCCAGCAGGAACTTGCAAACGCCACCGCCGCTATCCAAGGCGTTCTCTCGGGCACCGGAAACCCCTGTCTCGACGGGTGGTTCTACGATCGCAACCCCCTGGAGGTCCGCGAGCCACCCCGTTGGCTCAAGGCCTACATGCTGGGCGACGTCTACCACGAAGGAGTCATCTTCCACCTTAACATGCTGACCGACACCTACGACACCGTCTTCCAAACCCTCCAAAGCAGAATCCAAAACGCCGACGAAACCACCCAAATCCTCAGAGAGTACGCGATCGAGCCCGAGGGACTAACCTCGGAAGAACTTCTCCCGCGCCTGGAACACATGTGCGGGGACGCGATCTTCAAGATTCCCAATTATGCTACCTCCCTGCTCTGCACTTCTCTGCGGGAGAAGAACGCCTTATACCTCTATCACTTTGACCGACGGTCCCGGCTCAAGAACCCTTTGGAGGGTACCGCATACCACGCCATCGAGCTCCTGTATCTCTTTGGGAACCTGGACAACGAGATGAACGACGAAGATAAAGCCATGGCTCGGGATTTCGCCACGGCGTGGATCGCCTTCGCGTACGGCGAAGCACCGTGGTCTGCACGGGAGGGTCATTGGAAAGTCTGGGGTCAGGCCTGCGTTCATAAAGTCCAGAGCGAAGAGGAGGATCAGGAGATCCGTGACTATGCGCGTATGAAGCGGTTACTGGCTATGGGGGACGGCAAGACCTGGACCAAGTGGCTTGACGGGGTAGATTCGCTCGTGAACAAGCGGATGAACATGGGCAAGTTTACCAGGCAGAATAAAACCTGAATTTTACTTCAGTTACTAGCCAGTCCATGTAGCCAGGGCAATGAATATGCGAACATAAACTCCGATCCTTGCTTGCTCTTCTATTTCAAAGGATTCTTCTAGATACAACAAGGAGAAAATGAGGTATATATGTTAAGAGACATCAACATCAGCAACAACAACACTCAGCATCGAGAAACAAACACAGGAATCCTGGGAACTTTTCAAAACGAAGTATTTACAACAACAAAGGACCCCCAATTGCCAAGGTACGCCATCCGGCATCATACAAGAAAAAGTTTCAATCACTGGAAGATTCCTCCTCCTCCTCCTCAATCCCCCGGAGTTTTAGGTGAGCATATCATCCAACCTCTCACCCAAGACCTCTTCGATTTGCTTGACCCACTTGCGGACCTCCCGCTCGACGTTCTCATCTTCATCTTCCATCAGCTCGCTGATGTACGGCAGCATCTCCGGCAGCAACGCGAGCCATTCTTCGCCGAGCTGCTCGGTGAGCGATTGCTCCGCCCTCAAGGCGGCCAGGCGCGTGTGCGGGTTCTCGCCGCCGGCAGCGGCCTTGCCCGAGGGTCCGGCCGAGGGACGGAGGAGACGCATCAACGCCGTGTTGAGTTCCTTGTGGTTGTCCGTGGAGTCGGCGGCGACGGCCAGCTCCGTGATGGCGGGGACGGCCTCGGCGATGACGAGGGCGGCCGTGGAGGAGTTCGTGGCATGGGCGAGCTGGGAGATCAAAGGCTGAGCGATCGCGGTGAGGTGGGAAGGAGATTGCCAGAATTCTATGGGAGGTGTGTTAGATAATGGAGGACTCCTGTTATGAGGGAGGTGGAGGAGCGAAACATACCGTCTTGGTCGTGCTCAAATGCATTCCGGAGCATGCGCATCGTTGCCAGCCACAGACTCTTGGTGTTCTGGTTGGAGGGGTTGGCTTTGGCGAGAACCTTAACCACGTTTTCCAGGATGTAGCTTGCGTAGCCGGTGACAATAGACTGAGTCGGATTAGATATGATGATTGGATTGAGAGATTGACTGGATGAACTTACCTGAAGAGTGCCGAAGAATACTTGGAGGAACTTGTAGAAGGTCGTAAGGCGAGCCAGGCTACCTTGGGTATCTTTCTTAGCTGGAGTGGTGGAGGTAGCCCAGTCAAGGAGCTTGGTGAAAATAGGACGGAAGGTGGTATCATTTAGCTTGTAAACCATCTTGATGGCAACCTCGTTGACGACATCCTCGATCTCGTCCAGGTGTGACAAGTCGATGGTGGCATTCGAGCCTGAGGACACTTGCTGGCGGCGGAGGTCAAACGCCTTGAACAGAATGCTGGTGATGACCGCCAGGTTGTTGACGGTGGCAGACTTGGGATGCTTCTCAATGGCAAGGCTGACGATTCCCAGAGTCTCTAGGATAGCATCGGGGCCAGTTTCCACAGCGTGTTGCCAATTGCGGTCAACGGCAGCAAACGTCGCGGCCACATCGACCTTGCGAGCCATGAGTCGGAGGGTCTCCTCGCGGCCGTCATCTTCAACTTCCTCGGTGATAGCGGACTTGTGGCAGAGTAGAAGGAGCTGATCAAGGTGAGATGCAGACACCATGAAGGGAATGTGAACGAAGAGGGCAGAGAAGAAAGAGAGAACAGCATCATGCAATCTAGAGTTCTCCTTGCCACTCTCCAAACTGATCTCGAGCAACTCGAGCGAGCGACGAAGTGCATCTGGAAGTGCAGGGATCATAGCTTCGCCAAGCACCTCGGCCATCGAAGCGAGACACAAGACACCCATGATACGAATGCGCTCATCATCTTGTCCAATACAAGCCGCGCCGGCAACCACCTGGGCAGCACTGGCCACCTTGAAAGGATCCTTCTTGCCGTACTTCTCAGCGATACGGTCGATACAGGCCACTGCAGCATGCTTGAGCAGAATATCTGGCGATGATTCCACAATGCTGACCAATGTAGGCAAGAAGTCCAACATGCGTGTTTGTGAGACACCATCGTTTTCGGGGTTCTGGCGCAAACGACCCTCCAGGAGTCGAAGAACCTTGCGGCGAAGTTCGTCGTCAGGTCGCTCCAGAAGGACTTCGATAGTATCAAGGAAGTCGACGAGAGACAAAGTGCCAAACAAGGCGCTGAGGACATCGCCGCTCGCCTGGCTAACAGGCTTGACGTTCTGCATAGATTCGCCAATGAACAGAACCTTCTCCAGGATATGAGAGAAGTGGGTGCGGATCTGGACTGTCTGGTCGTCCGAATCTGTTGCGAAAGCCTTGGCCATTTTCACCTTCAGCGAAGAGTGCTTGAACAGGTGAGCCAGTGACCTGAGCAGATCGACGGCGACCTTCTGGGGTTCACGACCATCATCACTTCCAATTCCAAGCAAGACTTGAGAAATGCCAGGCTTGGGCTTGAGCGAGTCAATGACCAAGTCCAAGAACTTGCTGTATGTCTGTAGGACAGTTAGTCACAAATAAGGCCATCAAAAAAGACACGAAGCCACATACCTCGAGTTCGATGGGTGCGCTGGCATCAGAGACGAGACCAGTCATCAGAACGAGAACATCCTTGTCCATGGCGTAGCGATTGGCCAGCATAGCCAAAACAGCAAACAAGAAGTCCAGGACTCCGAGCTTGGTGACCAGAGCATGGAACAAACGCAGACGACGGTGAGCAGGAATGTGCTCAAAAGCGGCGGTAAAACTCAACAACAACTCAGAAGTTCCAGAGACAACGTCACGCTTCTGGTTACGAAGAGACTGAATGAGAGCGGGAACGACCTGGTCGATGGTCTGGTCGATGACAGACACGGAGTATTCATCATCCTTGCGAAGAACGCTAGAGCCCATGAAGGTGAAGATGGGCATGACGCTGTGCAGCACCAACTCAGGGGCGATAATCGAAAGGCCAGCAACGAGCAGAAGAGCCGCGTTCTGAACTTGCGGGCTATCTGTCGTACGGACACAATCGACAACGAGATCCGCTCGAATGACTGAGGTGTCAAACTGAGGCTTGGCAGTTTGCTTCGACTTGTTGACGATAGCCAAGAGGCTACCGAGAGTCAAGCTGAGCAGGTAGCTCATTCCTGACTGAATCTGCGACTTGAAATGATGAAGAGCTGCCAGCGTCTGGAAGAGGCCATCAGCCAGTTCAGGGTGAGACTCGGGGTTCGAGCTATCCACCAGCTCCAGGATGAATGTCGTCTTCTCCATCAGCTTGCTGAGTTTGGCTTCATCTTTAACAGTCATGGCCACCATATTGGTCTGGCTGGTGCGTCTCCTCTTCGGTGCCGGCCCAGCAGACTCCATATCAGTAATGGAAACAGGGATCTTCTGCAGGAAGAATTGAAGCACAGAGCCCGTCAATTGCACACTGCGCAAAACATCCCTGCATCCATTGACAAGGGGAGAATCCGACTCCTCGAGCGAAATTCCGAACAGCTTCTCCGAGGCCTCAATCTGTCTGTCTTCAGGCACCAAGGCCCAAACATCCTTCATGCGGCTAAAGATGGAAGCGACGAAAGATGATCTGAGAGAGTTGGAGTAAGGGCTCACATTCGAAAGAAGCACAAGAATGGCATCCTTCTCCTTCGGGGTAACGGTCAAAACAACCTGCTCATCCATTTCGCCCACAGAGACGCGCTCCTTGTCACAAACCTCCTTAATTTTCAGATCGTCGAGCTCTCGCCAAGATTTCAGAAGAGGCTCCAATTCCTTGGTACGGGTTGTGCCACCTGCCTTGTCGATTCTGTTAAGAAGCTTCAGAAGTCCCAGCTTGGGGGCAAGAAGGGGTATGTGAACAGCATGAGAGCACAAGAAAGTGAACACGCTGAGGCGAAGTGACTTTTTAATCTCGGTTGCTGCGGAATCAGCAGTTGACACACCTCGCAACGTCGCCTCGAGGACACGACCAATATGGTCTTGGTCGAGAACGTATTCCTCTAAGCCGGGAAGCAAAACGCGCTCCACAAGCTTCTGTACATCACGCCCGGCCATCCACTTGACGTTCTTTGTTTGCTGGCCATACAGCGAGTCATAGGCCCAAGGTTTAGTAGTATCAGACTTCTTGTTCTGCTTATAAATGTTGCCAAGCGCTGCCAGGACGCCTGTTGCTTCCCGTCGAATGCGCTCGGTTGGGTCGGCGAACGATACCAGCAGGTAGGGCAGCAGAGCCTGGAGATCGACATCAGATGCGGAAGATAGGGCCGACGAGATCAGGTTCAGCGCAGCAACTCTAGTGCCAGTAGGGTAGGATCCGGTTGATACTCTGGCCAGGAACGACAGATACTGTGTTGATTTTAAGGCATCGGCCTTCTTCAGCGACGGCAGGTTGACAAAAGACTCAAGCTTCTCCTCAGAGCCAACACCAAGAGCAAACACTTGCACGAGTCTCTCAAAGACAGATAGATTTTGGGCGCTGAGGGCTGAGATATCCAGGCTCTTTCCAGCGAGAGACTCTAGGGCAGGTAGGAACTGATCCTCCGCTTCTTCAACTTCAGCATCCCCCATTTCCACGTCTTCCAAAGCCTTAGGTGCAGGTGCAGACTCTATAACGATCTGCAGATTGTGTTCCAGGGCAGCGATGTCCAACTGAGATTCCTCAATGGCCTTCTGGAAAATAGGGCTCAAGGACTCGGATTGAGTGAAGTGCTGTACGAGCTCAGCAAGTTGAGTCTGGGCGTCAAGAGCCAAAGCACCCTCCCGATGAGCATTGCTAGTGGCGTGAAGGACCGTGGACATTGCCTTGGCCGTGTCCGATTCTTCGAGAAGACGGGCATTGAAGATCTGAGAAAGAAACTCCAAGCGTGCCAAGTCCTTTTGTCTCGAAAGATCGTTCACGCAGCCAGCTACCAGACCAAGCACCAGGTGGGAAGTCTTGTATTGAGTAGAGAGCTCAGTCAGCCGCTGCACAGGATCTTCCAGGCGGAGCACTGCCTTGAAAGCCCTCTTGGGAATTGTCATGTCTGGTTTCGCTTGCGCAAGAACAGACAGACAGACCAGACCTGATTCTCTAGTTTCTTCGGTCCACGAGCCAGCAACAGCCTCCATTAAAGAATCAAGGAATTCTTCGTTTAGAGTAGCCTTGTTGGCCAGAACAACGCAAACCATGTAACAGCCGATAACCAGCTCCGAAACGTCCTTCAATCCGAGACCATCATTCAAAACCGGAAGAACCTTGAGGATGACATCCTCGTGCTTCTGCTTCTCTAGATCCCGCCGACCAGAGCGTCCAGCGTCCAACATTCCAGCAACTGCTTCGGTGATCATTCCGGCCCAGAATGTCAAAAGCGCATGGTGATGCGCCCGCTGCTTGCTGACCTGGAGGGTATATCTGTTGATGGCAGCAAAGAATAGCTTGTTGGTGGTCGCGCTGTGCAAGAGAGGATGGCGCGGGGGGTTGATGTTGCTCTTCTTGTACGGATTTAAGATTTTAAAGGTCGGCGTGAGATCTTCGGGCAATATCGATAAAAGTCTTAGGAAGAGTGGAGTAGTGTAATATGGCAGGAAAGTGAGGAGAGTGAATTCGGTATTGTACTCGTGTACCCTGTCGAAGAGTCAGCTCAGCCATGGAGAGGCAAGTTCCTCATGGCATGGAAATATCCCAGTCGAAAATGGAGATCGTACCGGAAGCGTCTAATGAGCCAGTCAACGGCCCTCACAGCCGGACTCAATAAAAGTCTGCCTCCAACCAAAGCCAAGAAAGCTTCCAATACTGTGTTAAGCTCCTTATTCTGGGCAGCGGTCATCTCCGTGCGGTCTTCCGAGATACTCTGCTGGCTGAAGATCGTGCGCTCGAACGGGGCGAATCGGGGATCGAGTTGGCATAGCTCCTGGAAGCCTTCGTAGCATATCGCGTAAATAGTATCGAAGTCCTGAGAGGTAGCGACTCTCCGGTCGTAGATGAGAGATTGCGAATGCGAAATGCGCTGTGCTTTGAGGTCCAACTGGTTGGTCGACTTGGCCGCAACTTGCGCAAGCTGCGCGGCGAGAGATGAAGCCATGTTGGATGATTTCTATGTCGCTAGATCGGATCGGTATTTTTATGATTATCGACAACTGAACCACACACCCATCCCTCAAAAAGCGCCTCCAGTTGAGTTTCGACACGGATTGAAACGTTTGGCGGGCAGAATTTCCCCAGCGCCGTGGGAATCAGTTGAAGCTCGGAGCAACTTTTTTTTGGAGACCGGAAAAAAGTGCGGCAAGCGGGAGCGGAGTTTTTCCAGCCTTCATCACCGCCCGCCCGCCCGCCCCGTTGGAGAGCGGAGATTCCCAATTTGAGAATGCCTAGCTTGATTGTCCAGGAGTATGGATTCGTCTGGCTCCCAGGTGAGTAATGATTCTTCAATCATATCTCTCTCCTCTGCTTTCAGCTAATCCGCGAAATTCGTGACAGGAGAAGAAACCCGTCCCTCGCTTCGCCAGCTTCAAGCCTCCTCCTCCTCCGCCCGAAGCTGATCATCCGCCCGAGCGCCCGCGTCGCGACAACACTGGCCACGAGGACAAGTCGAGGTCTCATTCAGAGCGCCACTCGAGACATCGAAACCATCGTGATCGGTCTCGATCGCGAGAGCATCGCCGCAGACATAGGGACAGGGAACATCATTTGAGTGTAAATAAGGCCAACCACCATGATCGCACTACCTCCGAAATCCCCCATACTTCGTTATCAAACCGCCACGCTACGAAGGACGATGCGTCGGACCTCTACGTCATTGATCTCAAAGGAGACAAGTACAATTTGATTTACGGCACACTTCATCGCTACAGCGTTCCTGATTATTACCGCGTTGGGCGAGGTAATGTGCTGGGCCTACCCTCGAGCTACCGAATAGACCGGGAGAGTGTCGTGGAGGACAAGCTAGTTATCAGAAATGAAACGCAGAGGAAAAGACTCTCCCGAACCAAGACGAAGAGCATTCTCTCGAGTCTCAGCAAACAACAACCGCGGTTGCTCCGCTTCAAACCCCAGTCGTTGCTCGACGCAGCTGCAGACTTTTCCAAGGATTATCTGCCTTTGAGTACTTCCGGTAGTCGAAAGCATCGGGCGGCTTTGGGAGACCCTGGATTCGACGATGAGAAATACGCATATCGCTCTATTCATGGCAAGGCGAAACCGGAAGATCATTTGCCCAGCGATGTCGAAGCCACGTCCGACAGTGACGCTGATGAAGATGGCGTCCGAGGAGATCCCGATGAGCAGATCAAGCAGAGGAATGCGCTATTGTCGCGCAACTTAGAGAAAAACCCCTCAGACATCGGTTCCTGGCTTGAGTACATTGATCATCAAGAATCATTATTGCGCGGAGCAGCGGGCGAGACCAAACCCTTGACATATGCAGAAAAGCAGAGCTTGGCTGACATCAAATTGTCTCTGTACGAGAAGGCCCTTAGTAGAGTTGGTCAGAGCGATGCAAAAGACCGACTTCTAATTGGCTTTCTCGAGGAAGGTGCAAAGCTCTGGGACACCAAGAAGCTCGCCGCGCAGTGGCAGACTGTTCTACGTTCCAATTCGCAATATATCAGCCTGTGGGTGAAATACCTTGACTTTTGCCAGACTGAATTCCTTAATTTCACATATCAACGGTGCCTTGACACATATATCGAGTGTTTGAGATTGAATCAATCTGCGCCAGAAAACCCTGGGAAGTCCCAGGTTCAACTGTATCTGTTCCTCCGCTTGACACTTTTCATGCGCGAAGCGGGATTCGCTGAGCATGCAGCAGCTCTTTGGCAGGCAGTACTTGAAGTGGTTTTCTTCCGACCAGACTCTTTGAAGGACAGGCATGATAGCAAAGAGGTGATCCCACCATTTTTAGACTTTTGGGAGTCTGAAGTCGCCCGGATAGGTGATGTGGCCGCCAAAGGTTGGAAGAGTGGCAGCAAAGATCTACCCACTCAGCAGGAATTCAATCCGGCGTTTCACCTCGATTCAAAGAAATTGATTCCGTCCTGGGCACCATGTGAAAGAGAAAGGATCACCAATGCTCGGTTGCCTGCCTTCAGTTTGAACGAATCCGAGCAGGACGACCCTTACCGTGTGATCTTGGCCTCCGATCTTGATGAGATCCTGACCCTCGTGTGGGATGTGGACTCGCCGAGTCTACTGCTCGATGGTTTTCTCTCTTTTTGTCGCCTTCCGCCGATAGTGACAGCGGAGAATCAGAGCTCGAATGGCCGTCGAACCGGCGACCCATTTGTTCGAAATGAAATCATGAGCCCTTCAATCTTTAAGATCGATGACTGGGTTTCGCGCGCATCCTCAGCAGACGAGTCTACGGCGCTGTCGCCCTTCCGATACCCTCAACACAATTTTATCAGCACGCTTGAGACCCTCATGCCTGAACAAGGGACATGGTTCTCGTCTTTAGACACGTGGAACACAGCCACCTCGAATTCAGTATTCGATGTGGTCCCTATGTGGGTGCGACGAGCTCTGAGGTTGCTGGTAGATGCCAATCCCAGCAATGATGACTTGGCTGAATTTGCGCTCTGCGTCGAGTTCGCATGTAGTAGCAAAGACGCGAAGAAGTTTGCGAAGTCTCTACTGAAGAAGAGGTCGTCTAGTCTACGACTGTACAACACATATGCGCTGATGGAGCGTCGGTCAGGCAACCACGGCGCAGCTGATCATGTGTGGGCAACAGCGCTCTCAATGAGCAGGACATTCCCCGACCATGACAGAGTGGATAGCATCCTGCTGTGGCAAACATGGCTGTGGGAGCTTTTAAACACCGGCAACATGGCTCATGCTTTCTACATCTTACTGAGCATCCCGCAAGACAGCATCGATCTGAATGCTCTACCCCAAGACTCAACTCAACCTACCTTCACGCCAACCAGCCTCCTCAAAATCCAAAGCGTAAGTTCATCTACCTCTCTGCTCATCCTCCTACAGCACTAACATCCAGACAGCATCTTTCCGAGCTACAAGAGAAGGTCCTCGCCCACCGCAAGGCCACCAATTTCACCGCCAGCACAGCCAGCCTCGCCATCCTCTCCTACCTCACCAACACCCAGGACCTCCACAAAGCCCTCGAAGCGTACACGCATGCTCTCGACCGACTCAGCTCCCTCCCGCAGTCCTCGAAACCCTTCCAAACCCACACCACCGAACTCCTGCACCAATCCCGCGCAAGATTCCTCTACCACCACATCCACACGCGCCGCACCTACAAGCCCTCGCACATCCGTACCCTCCTGTCCGAAAGCATCGCCCTCTTCCCCCACAACACCATCTTCCTCTCCCTCTTCGCCTGGACCGAAGCCCGCTTCCGCATCGACGACCGCGTCCGCAGCGTCGTCCGCGACATCACCCGCAACAACACCACCACACAGAATCCCACTGACCCCAACAATCTCTCCACCCCACCCATCCCACTCACGACGCACCTCTTCTCCATCTACACGGAGCTCAGCCGCCCGGTCTTCGCCGGCTCCACCGCGCACTCCGTCCGCGCCGCCTTCGAAGAAGCCATCGGCGATGACACCTCAAAGTCCTCATCCCCAATTTCATCATCAATATCGTCCTCATCAGCCCGCTCCAACCCCTCGACCTGGAAACTCTACATCCTGTTCGAACTCGCGCAGCACGAGATCCACCGCTCCAAGGAGGTCTTCTACCGCGGCATGCGCGCGTGTCCCTGGTCGAAGGAGCTGATCATGCTGGCGTTCACGCATCTCCGAGCGGACATAATCCGCCCGATGCACCCTCCCGGGAAGGAGGCACCGCGCAAATGGGACGAAGGGATGGGTTTCGAGGAGTTGCGGCATGTGTATAATGTGTTGGTGGAGAAGGAGTTGCGGATCCATGTCGATATCGAGCAGGCGCTGGATGATCTCGCGGCGGCGAGGATGGTGGATAGGCAAGGAGGGGTGGTGGAGTTTGTTGGTGGGGTGATTCGCATGCCTGATGATGGTGATGATAGTGAGGTTGAGTCGGGGGGCAGAGGCGGAGGCGGAGGCGGAGGCGAGAGTAGCATGAAGGTTGGTCATGTAAATTAGTTTCCATATGTCCGCAAAAGTCTCAATTCGGATTGTACAATACAATGCAATGGGGTGAAGAAAGGGTACTGCAGCGCGGTGAGAGTCTTGACAGTAAAATCGATTCCTTGCACTCGAGCCTAAGCCGTATTTCTAGCTACCGTACCGAACCCGATATAAACCCCCAATATGTTACAGGACATAGCATCATGAGACAAGTACAGGTGTTTGAAGCAATAGACACGATAGAATGCCTTGCACACAATAGTTGATCAAAAAATGAACAATAATTCGAGATAAAAAGAGATAAAAAAGAAAATGTCGTTAGTCATTATGGTATCATGTCGCAAGCCCACACCTACTGTCTTCTTCCTCATTCTTCAGATCCACTCTTCTCCTGTACATTAGAAGTGTTCCTTCCAGAATTTGAACTTGATATCCTTTGTCGAGGTCGACAATGCCGCTTCGCGGATCTGTCTCGCAGCCGCATTAGGGCCGCAGAAGTAAACTCCAACCTGCGTTGGTGTGTTATCGTACAACCCAGACATGTAGCTCTGATCCTGTAGGCCATCTCGCATGGCGCTGAACAGGCGTTTGAAGTCGGGCCGACCGAAGTTCGTCCGACTACGCAGCTCCGTGAGGGGATCGAGGTCCTGCCCCACAGAATTCAGGTAGATGTTCGCGGCCGTGTCGTCGTCGAGGCGTTGCGTAAGGTATGTATGAATGCGCAAGAACTCGACGCTGCCTTCGTAGGCAGCTGTGGATGCTGACTGGGACTCGAGCGATGAGAGCAGAGCCTGGAACCATTCGAATGAAGAGGTGTCCTTGCAGACCCAGATGAATTCGACACGGCGGAGACGACGGGGCGGGTTGGGCCGTGCACGTAAGTGCCAGATGCTTTTGAGGATGGAGGCCCATGGGGTGACCCCGATGCCAGTGCCGATGAGGACCGCAATCTCGTTCTCGAAAACATCCTCCGCTGGCGCTCCGTAGGGTCCATCCACCCGTAACTTCGGCATCTTCTGGCCGTTCTGGAGCGCCACCTCATACATACCCAATGGGTCGAGTCCTTCCAGATCTCTTGCCTGTGCGGGCCCACAGCCCAAAGCATCTCCAAGGGCACGGGTAAAGTCCCCAACCTGGCGGACGTGAACACTGATATAGGGGTCGAAAGGGCAGGAGGTGATAGTAAAGGGATGCCATTGGTTGCTGGACACCTCGGGGACTTGGATGAAGAGCCACTGGCCAGCCTTGTATTTCATGCTTGGTTTGCGAAACTGTATCTCCATGGCATCTTCGAAGAGTCAGCTTGCGGATTGGCTTGGGGGTTTACATTGAACTAACCGTAGGGATGACGAATCACCTTGGTGATCACGGTATCCCGCCTTGACCGGACCTCCCGATAAAGCCTTTCGCAAAAGTACAGCGCTCCACCCACTAGTTCCCATCTCCAACCTTCGTATCCCAGGCAATGGTTCCAGAACTTTTTCCCTGCGAAGGGTGAGATGGGGTCCGTGGTATCTCGAACAAAGCAGCCGGTAGCGTGGGTGTAAAGAGCTAGATAAAAAGGGACGAAAAGATGGTGGGTATACCAGAAGGTTTCGAATGACTGCTGCCGGATTCGTTGGTGGGCGGTAGTGTACATCAACATCATGCACAGGAGCATTACATGGCCGGTGATACCTCCTGCTTCTGTGAAATGGATTTGGACTGCTGTGACAGCGCGAAGATGATTCTTTTCGACATTATAGAAACTACTGTCTGTTAGCGTATGCGACTCTCTCATCCTCGAATTTGACATACTTGACGTAGTGAGCAGCAGTATGAATGATGGTAAATATCAGGAGAGAATAAGCAACTTGGCGATGAAACCATATTGCCTCATCGAGCGGAAGCCATCGCAGTCGCGGCCTTAGGGTCTTGAGCAGGTTCCTGCACATGGGAAGAAGAAGAACAGCCGCATCAAAGCTCAGAACCAAGCCTGCGCCTCTCGAGATCCAGACTGAGTACTTCAGGGTGTTCAAGGCATCGAGTTTGTGATTAGTTACTTGTAAGTACCTATGGTCTCTCAGTAAAATGACGATATGTAGATTGACAGAAAGAGACTTACCACCCGACTGCGAAAAGCACAATCTGCAATCCCCAGAATAATAAATAGAACCAGATCTTGGATCCGCTAAAGTGAGACTTCCATGAAGTGGTCATTGTTGTTATGGAGAAGGTATGCAAGAAGGAGAGTAGGTGTCTTCCGATATTGAACAAGTCATCGACCAGCGACGATTCTTAGATATGAACGAACACAACACGTATGAGCCTTAACGCATGTGCACACTGTCATAGAGTCTTCTTTTCACAGAGATTTGCATGTCTGGATATTCCCATACACCAGGCTCTCTCGTCAGTTTCAGCTGCAGTAAACGAGCAGCCAATTACTTGATCCCCGCGGACGATAAGTGGTGTGATCAAGTCGAGCTCCTGAAGTTCTGGAGGATCAAGGATGATTCTAAGTATTTTTAGTACAGCGATGAACTTTGTCTACTCTCAGACCCTGGTGCTGATAGTCTATGCGTAGAGAACAAAAGCCTTTTCTCTCAACTGCCGTGTCGAAATCTTCAGCGTGCGGAGAGTCCAATCAGGAGAGAGTGTACGGGGCCAATTAGGTGTCAAGAACCAGACCGAACGCGATCATCGTTATCGTGATCGAATCCAGCATATGAGAGTTTCTTGCAAGCTTCGGTGTGGGGTGTGGCGGTGGACGTTGTCAAAAAGATGTCAGGTTTCCAGAGATATGGTTCTGGTTGCAAGTGAAGAGGGGAAAGGCGCCTTGACGAGGGAACGTGTTGCTATATTTACGCGACCCCTGCTCAGGGCCTCAGCCTAAGTGACGCTAGGGCAGCCTGCAGGAAACGGATCAACCGGTTGAGTACGGAGTAGCGTAACTTCGTTTACCACGTCCCCCAGAGCATGTAAAGGCTCACTGTGTTGAGAGCGTCTACTCTCTCTCATGCTTAAGCCATCGCGTGGTGCGCGATCTTGACCCTGAGCTTTGAGCCGTGTCCAAGACTTTCGCAACGATTGATCATATTTGCCCTCGTATTCCCCGGTCAGGAATATCAAATGGCGACTGTCACACCGTCCATCATGAGGTTTGACAGCTGTGGGCCCATCGTCATGCCGTGATAATTGGTGTAGCGACTGCGGTCATAGCAGGGTCCGAGGAGCCGGATGGCTGGGTGGCTCTTCGTCACCATCCTGTCTATCTCATCAAATCCTGGTGTCCACTACAGGACGAACCATGTGGTGCCAGGATGCTCTCCTGCCTTCGAAACTCGGTTCATCCAGCCAACTGCTCACTCTGCTCTCCCTGTCTCGTGGAGATTGGCTTCTGAAAGGGTGGAGTCGGAGCCTGCGTTCATCCTATGAGAAGCGATATGCAAGCGCGCTTCCCGTCACACATGGCCCGAGCGGCCATTGAACAGACACAACACCCTATTGTGGCTGTAGATGCACTGACGAGCAGAGGAGATTAGATTCACGATGCTGCCAAAAATAAGGTCTCCTGCTGGCCAACACAAACATCCTCCAGGTACTAGACCAAACCAGAATTCACCTCCGAGGAGAGCTATTCAGCCATGACTTGGTGGGGGATGCGTTGAAGGAACCCGCATGTCAGGCCGAAGGTGTTCTAAGGCCGCTTGGCGCTGCACGATTGACAAGTTCAATCACAAAGATTCCGTGATAGCGAATGCACAAAGACTCAGGCCATGTGGGTAACCCACCTCATTAGCCTTTGTTTTATCTCTTTTCGTCGATGAATAGCGACAATCTGCCGAGGGAAAGACGGTGAGTGGCTCAAAAAAAGCCTTTCTCTGTTTTGCTACCACCGGAACATTCGCATCCTTAAGCATGTCCGAGGCCAGAAGCCTTCACCACAAGGCGCGTACACTCAACGAACCGAGCAATGAACCGTGTGTAGCCTGGCTAGGCGCCTTACAAGGGGAACGCAAAGGCGAACAGGACATCCAGCCACTTGCCTCCCCCGCTTCGTCGGCCTTCACAGGAAGGCGCTCCACAAGAACCTTGGGGTTGTTCAATCAGAAGTGAAGAACAAGGTACTGGTACAGATGCATCGGCCGCTAAAGTGTGTTTCCGGAAGCCCTCTGCATCAATTGCTCCACCGTCACGTTCGTCGACGTTCAAGACTCGCTGGAGACGTCCGTCTAGCCAGACTTTCGCCGCTCAGTGGCTATTAATTGCGTCCGGTAGCGCCCAACCGGGGCTTCTCAGGGCCAGTCAACCCAGAGGCATTGGCATGGGCCACGGCTCCTCCGACTAAGCGCGCCCAATCAGCAGTACAGGGAGGTGCGTTTCTGTGAAGAAGCAGGGCGGGGGATCGTTGAATTCATGTGAATAGACATTTTCAATTGGTCTGATAAAAGGAGCGGTCGCTAAAACAGATGCAGTTATCACGTCCGGTCATAATAATAGGTGAGAGATGGGGAGTGCGTTAGTCCAGTGGACTATGGATGATTCCGAGTTGAAGAAGAAGAAAGATTCCGGTCAGGTGGTGTGTACTTCTTTTGCCGCTGGGAGCTATTACTATCTTGGTGTATTCTGCCTTCCTCCCGAGTCCCCTTCCACCTTCACCCACTCTCTCATAAAGTCCTATCGAGGGATCGGCCTTCCGAGGCATGATCTGATCTTCTTGGGGCTGAACTTTCTGAGGTGATGTGATTTGGTGATACGAGGTTGCTTCTATCTTGAGATTCACATCCCCGCCGCACGGGTCATTGTCATTTGAACGCTTGATCTACCATGCAATCAAGAAGAGATTATACCATTACTATTATACCTACTCCGCGGGCCTTCAGTTGACCCAGTGATGGACTGACATCCACCATCAAGTCACAAGCACTCCGCAAAGTTGGTGACAAAACACCAAGAACAACCGTCGCCGAGCATAGACTCTTTCGCAGGACGGAAGACGCTGCTCATACTCCACTCCTGTATACAACATATCGCCTGTCATGGGAAGACTTATCAAGAACCACTGGGCTCGCTTGATCATCCTTACAGCGGCAGCCTGTAAGTGTTGACGTCACTTGGGTTAAGTTCGATTGCGATCGCTAACACCGGACACTTCACGGCCAGTCCAAATAGGAAGCGCAATCGAGGGTTTCATCTGGCCCAAAGTGTTTTGGGACTTCATGACGAAGAATCTGAACGGCGCCGTCACGCCTATTCCCATACTTCAAATCCTCAATCTGCTGATGGGGCTGATTGGCATCGCCTGGGAATGGCCTTTGAAATATGTCGCGGGCTCGATACCACACCGCAGCATCGAGTTCCGGTTGATCCTTTACCCTCTCAGCGCTCTCCTCGCTATGCTTCTCTACCAAGGGACGGACCCGGCGATATACTACCTCATTGGGATTGGGGTTTATTTTTGGGCGTACAGCGAGGGCGAGGTATGTGGCCCACGATTGCCTCGAGTACGTGGTGATTGAGCTAAAATGAGCACAGGTGGTATGTCCTGAACCTTGGACCCTGCCTAAGCGAAGCGAATACAAAGTATAGTGTGGCATAGATGTATTCTGCCTGCTTTCATGAAAGACTTACGACTACGACATTCACGATGACAGTTCTGCGAATACCCTTATATTATTATTGGCGTCTGGGAAGAGAATGAATTGGGAAGGAGTCAACAATAACCGTTTCCAGCTCTTGTGCTGAAGGGATCAGCATACAAAGTCTTGGTGGTGATCTATGCTCTTTGGAGCAAATGTACTAATTGCCTTGGATTTATTGTAAATACCATGATATAGCTAGCATACATAATCCTAGAGACTACAAGACATACATTTATGCAAGAAACGACCGATCGCAACCTAGTTTAACCTCCCTGGCACGCTGTGAGATGTGACTGCAAAAAGATTATTTTGTGCCCGGATTTTGAGGTATTAGTTTACTCACATGATAGACAGGCTAGTGCCGTGCCCGAGGTGGTGCAGCGATTGGCCAATATTACTCCAATGGGATTAGTCGTTCCTGGACTTATTCAATTGTGGACGATGGATCACGGATAACTCCATCTCATCCGCTCGAGACCTGACAGACAGGCAACGCCACTGCAATTTTTACCATTGAAATGAGCTCATTGGACGGGACAAGAGTCCGCGAGCGTGACTAACCCAATCGCTCTAATCACTTGTAAACATAAAACAGTTCATTCCTTTCTACTGACTCCCGAAGAACAGACTCTCATCCAGCTCAACCTCCCTCGCAGCAACACAATGTCAGCTTTGCTCCTCACGAAGCCTCTGGAAGAAGACATTGGCTTTGTCGAAGAGAGCGAGGATGTCCCCGTGAATAAGAAGACCAGCTTCAACGGGAGGCTGAACCAATACTTCCATACAGCAAAGAACGTCGCCACCGAGCCTCCTACCCTCAAACCCACCACCACCACCACCACCACCACCAACAATGCTTCGGTTTTCGAGCGAGACACCGCGACGACTCGCTCAAAACGTAAACTCTCCCTCCCCACGCAGCAGTCATACCTAGAGAATAGACCAGACGAGTCGATCCCCTCCTCCTCACCTTCTTCCTCCAAGCGCCAACGCACAACCATGCTACGTCGAGCCCTCCCCTCGACAACGACAACCGCAACCGCAACCACAACACGACTCACCCGCTCCTTCACCCGCTCACGCTCCACCCTACCCTCAGTCCCAGCGCCGACCCCATCTTCACAATCACCATCACAATCACAATCACCAACCCCAACCCCTCAACCTGAGCCCAGCACCCCCCAAAGCACCACCCGCCGCACCCGCACCCGCACCCGCACCCGCACCCCTAAACCCCCAACACCCCCAACAACCCCAAGCCTCCTCCGCGACACGATCCCGGCCAATCTCGACCTCCTCCTCGTGGGCGTCAACCCGGGCATCCTAACCGGCGTGACAGGCCACGCGTACGCGCACCCATCCAACCTCTTCTGGAAGCTACTGCACTGGTCGGGGATCACGGCGATCCGGCACCCGCCCTCGGACACGTACGCGCTGCCCGGTCTTTACAACATCGGGAACACGAACATCGTGGAGCGGCCGACGCGGGACGCCAGCATGCTCAGCCGGGCGGAGATGGACGCGGGGGTGCCGGTGCTCGAGGCGAAAGTGGCGGCGCAGCGGCCCGCCGTGGTGTGTCTGGTCGGGAAGAGTATCTGGGAGGCGGTGTGGCGGGTGAAGATGGGGCGTAATATCCGGAAGGAGGAGTTTCGGTACGGGTGGCAGGATGAAGGGATGAATATGGGGGCGGTGGTTCCTGGCGATGCGGGTGGTGGCGGTGACAGCTCAAGCCCGTCCCCGTCCTCGTCCTCTTCAGCAAAGGGGGGAAAGTGGCCCGGAGCGAGGGTGTTTGTGGCTACGACGACGAGTGGGTTGGCGGCTGGGATGTCCGTGGCGGAGAAACAGGCTGTGTGGAATGAGCTAGGGGAGTGGGTGAAGCATCGCCGGCAGGAGAGAGAGCAGCAGCAGCAGCAGCAAGATCGTAGTGTTGATGAGGACAAACCCAGTCAGGGTCGATGACCACTAGATATATAGATCGATCTAACCACATAAAACTTCAATTACTAAATCAAGAAACCTACAAAGACGAAAGTGCACCATCTTTCCAGATCTGATATGGGTATTTGTATTCAGTTATCAAAAGTAGACACTAAATTAGTCCACCTATTTCCACCACATTCATAGTATAGTAAACCTTGACCATACACGTTTCAAACCCCCAAACTGGTAGTTTAGAAACATATTTCATCCGCTAGAAACACATGGGCTCATCAAGAGAGAAAAAAACAAAAGGAAAAATCCTGAACACTTCAGCAGCAGGACAGGACACAAAAAAGCTAGCCAGCCAGCCAGCCAGCCAGCAGTAGCATCAGCTCATTAGAAAGCGTCTAGCATCTATCGAAGAGCAGGGCCGTTGGCGAAGTTGGTGTCATCCTGACGCTCACGGGACTAAAGAAATCACAAATCAAGTCAGTAAATGCTTCCCCAAAAACATACTTCACAATACAATGGAAAAGTATTGGTGGGGCCACCTACCTGAGAGCTCTGGAATTCACCGTTCTCCAAGATCTTGATCAAGCAGTCGTCCTCGTTGTCGGTGCCGAACTCGTTCTGGAGGCTCGACTTGCTGGCGTTGTCCAGGATACCCTGGGCTCCGTGCCTGAGTTGGAAACTCCGTTAGCAAAGCGTCGATGACCGAGAGAAAGGCAAGTTGAAAGGGGAAGCTTACTTGTGGGTGACAAAGATCTTGAAGCCATTGACCACGTCGGCCAAGGGGATGGAGCGGTCGTTGCGCCACTTGTTCACAACGTCGTTGTCGTCGACAAAGATGACGAAGTCATCAGATGAACCCTTGTAGAACATCTTGGAGGTTTGCTCAACGGCGCGAGGCATTTTGATGGATTGGAAGGGTTGATGGTAAAATCAATTGAGTAGTTTGGAGAAGATAGTTGGTCACTGAGAGTTCCTCGTAGTAGGCAGATTTGACTGTCGATACTGGAGGAGAATAAGAGAAGGTGGGGTGGGAAGAAGTGAGATAAAGTAGTTGAAGTAGAGTCGGATGGAGTATGGAGGAGGGGCTGGTTGATGACGTCACTAAGATGTTACCCGAAACAGACTGTCAGGATGTCGCGTCAATCAGGCAAATGCGGAGTCGCGAGAAAAGTGGGATATCGTGTTGATGAAAAGCTCAATTGCTTGGTTCTTGAGATACTCGTTGCTTGTGAGTTAGTAGAAAGGTTGTATGGCCTCAAGTTGAAAACAACCACCCTTAAATAATACAACCAGCGTGGTCAAAACATGCCATCGTGAGCTGAAGTGAACACCGACGTCATCGGTCTTGTCCATGCTACGTCGACTGATCCGCTCAACAGTGCCAGTATTTTCCCTTCTTGTAACTTCGGTGGAGAAGCACTACCAGCTCATTAGGTGATCAGATTCTCTCATCACTAAACAGCATCATCGTCATCATCGTCACTATTCTCGTGCCGTACTTCAATTCCAGCAATTTAGGTCGTTTTGGTTCACTAATGCTGCTAATTACTATCCCCACCTCCCGCCAAGTACTCCATCAAACACCTGCGTTGACTTTCCCCACGTCCTCGAACCCTTAGGAAACTGCAAGAATAATACTGAGTACGCCCAGCACAATATTTGGAAAAGTTTGTTCGCGATATGCATGCCTGTGCTTGTCCCTCCGTGCTTGGTGACCCCTGGAAATCAGTTGCATCATTGTCATCATGAAGCTCCACTCCCCACCCTCATGCGTCCATTCCTTTTCGGTTTCCTCGTTGACATGGAATTCAACATCCTGCGGATTGTGGATGGCTTCGTAGCTGAGTTCTCAGGGGGCTCCTGACATGTATCCTTCTTCTTGGTCAAAGGAGTCTCGGGGCTAGGTGTTGACTTGGGTGTGCCCTTCATCTTGAACGTCTTGACACGTTTGACTGTTTCCTTACCATCGCGTGGGACACAAGGACTCCTTCGGTCATCAAGTGCCGGTCCATTTGATTTCGGCTTCTCGAGCCCAAGGCCCCCGTCACCCTTTTCCAGTCTCCTGTAATCGCTGTCCAACGGACGAATTTCCCTCTTGGCCGAAGCAGCAGCCGCTCTTGTGGCCTTAACGTTCACGAAGCTCGCACGTCTCCTCAATATCTGTTTTCGATTAAGATTCCTTCTCATAATCGAGCCTGGTCGGAAAAGAAGGTCTCCCATTGCTAGAGTCATGCCAGGATATGGAAGCGCATTCCGTGTGTAGACCGCCGAGATCACGCGTTCCAAACGGATTCGGTCTTGTCTTTTAGCAACGACCGTCGTCACGAACTCGTCTGGAAGCTCCTGAGAACGCTCTGTATCGCCATCCGCTGGGTTATGTTCCTCTAGGAGGTACGGGCAATGTGTCCTCTTGATAACTACAACAGGGTATTCCAATGGAGGTCGTGGTGCGCCTAATGTTTGCATGGATGGTCGCCGAGACAAAGGAAGCACCGTGCTATCAAGTGGGACCAAGTCCAAGGAAACAAATGCGTACCGTCGTGACCTCTCTATAATATCTCTTTGTACTTTGGTGGACGTTGCCGCACACTTGAGTGTCTCCGTTGTCCATTTCTTCTCCTCGCTTGCAGACGATGCGCTGAGCACCAGCTCATATCTCTTACCAGAGATATTGAATACCAGCTTCCAGGAGAACACACACTCGCAGCAGATGCCTACCGACTCATTAGTCTAAGAAGAGGGTGTGGTGAAAAGTCCAGTCACCTTCGCCATTATGCAAGGTGTCGATTTTGAGATCCGGGATGTGAAGACACATCAGCGCTTGAAGTCTTCGATTGTCGTCGTTCATGCTCGCAAAAAGAATGTGGCTGCTAAACAGAACACAGACCATGAAGCCGGCGGCGGCAGATTCTGTAGGGGAGGAATAGGTAACATGCAAGACACCGCAAAGTATCAGCGGTCCAAGCTGCTTGTATAGATCAAGGGTCTTGTTCTATTTTACAAAGACCTCCTTAGTAATCTTTTGGACATGAAAAGGACCCGTGGAGACATACCCCCTCTGAAAAGTCCAGCATATTCTGTAATTCCCTTGTCTTGAAGACCAGGTCTCTGTTTATGGGGTTGTTGTTGATTTGATTGACTTCTTGCACGACCTGTCGAACAGTTTCCAGAATCTGTCGAATGCCATCATGGGCGGATGGGTCATCTTGGATATGTGTCCAGCGGAGTAATTCCTCTAGTAGCAGAGGGTACTTGCACAGGCGTTGTACTGGCTATAGAGTCGTCAGTGCTTGTAAATCACCCGAGCGAACAATTCCTACCTTGATGAGAAGATCATCCAAGATCATAGACCTGTGCTCCTCGTGCGCCTGTCTATCGATGGAAGCCACGGATTTCGATAGTGCCTCAATACCCAAATCGAAGATCCGCCAATTCGGAACAGATGAACGAAGCAACTCAACATCAAAGGTGAGCAGGCCATAGCTACTGCAGAACAGCTTGTAGATCATGAAGTTCCTTGACTAAGGAATATGGCTATTAGAGAAAGAACCAAATAGTTAAGAGAGGAGACCTCACCAATCTTCCTACGGCTTGCGCAACCTCTAAAGCCTCTTTCGTCTCTGCGGCGAGGGCCCTTAGGCGTGAGTTTACCGATGCTTTGAAGCTTCGCGATCTTAGAGACCTTGAATGAAGTGCCCTAAAGCCCGATTCAAAGGCGCTAAAGTGCTTGTGAGCTGGTTGAGGCACTAAACTGTCGAACTCGGCTCCAGCAAGTTTGGAGATCGGTGTCAGCTTCCGAAGTTGAGCTAGAAAATCTTCGTGTATATCTCGAAGCTGTTGAACATTATAGTAGATCTCCGGCCTGACGGAGAAGATGAAAAGTGCCTGTAAGGTGTCAGCTCAACACCGTGTGGAGTCAGGTTAAAAGATGGGTAGGAAGTGAACGTATACATCAGCAAGTGCTTTCAAACCAAAGACGTAGTCACACTCGGTGCTAATCAGCTCTCGCAAAACGCGGCGCCTCTTGATCGCTCTGTTCTGGGCATCCTCATCGATGGATGAACTCAGAGCTGGCCTTATGCTCTCTAGCGACTCACGGAGGTCCGACCTGATGCTCCGATTTGTGGTACTTTGAGTAGTCCCTCTCGACCGCACAACACTTTGACTGGCAATGCTGATGGTTGTGGTCTTTACTGTCTCCAGGTGAGAGGAGTGATTTGACCAAGACTCCCACTTCTTCTCCTGAGCTTCGTGGGTCAGCGGCATTTCAGAACCGATGTATGGATCGGCTTGGGGGATTTCCATCCATCCTTCGACGTATCTTTGAGGATCGACAGGAGGAAAGCCTCTCCGCGATCGCAGACTGTTCACCCATCGTTTAAACGCTGTTACCGGATCTGAGCTTGCTGAAACGGCGTTGCCATTGTTTGGTCTTGTTTCGTGTCCTGACGTCTCCAGCACAAGCACCGGCGTCTCGGCGATGTCCTTGGATTCTTCCATGGCGGTAGATATGGCAACCAACGCAGTTTGACCTGGACCACTCTAGCTTAGTATAGAGATAAGTTGACCGGTGGCTGCTTGGATGTCAATCCTGACGGAAGCCACATTGGAAGGAAGCCACGACCAGCGCAGACGAGTAAGGAGGGGAAGTGTCGGAATATACCTTTGCCTCCAGGCGACAGAGAGACACAATGACATTATTTAAAGCCATTGCTCTTAGCACACCACTGCACGGCCCCGTTTCAGAATTATAGTTGAAGCTTCAGCGTAATCTGTGCTCCCCAATAATCATGCCTGTTAGTGCATAAACGTCACACCGGTGACTAAAAGCTTTTCACAGTGCAAGTTCAAGGGCATCCTATTAGTCGTGATACTGGCAGACAATTGGCTACAGAGTTGTCTAATCATGTAAGTAATGTAATGTGCATTGTACATGGTAGCAGACTGCAGACATTTAACTACTAGTTTAGTAGATGTTTTGATGTTGGCTTACCGAGAGGGGAAACTCCCCCAGATTGTCCCGCGGC